GCTTGAAAGTTAAAAAACCACTTAAAAATAATAATTTTAAGTATAAAAATCTGATATAAGAACTTAAAAATAATAATTTTAAATATAAAAGTTACTTTTATAACAAATATAAATTTAAGGACTAAAAGATAAAAAAATATAATTAGAGGACTAACTATTCTCTAACACCATAGCAAGTTTTTCCGTTAGTTTTGAACAAGTAGGCGAAATTGAAATAAATCTGAAAGTTAATAGACTACTTAGAAATAAAACATAGTTTCTAGACTAAAATGAAATCAAGGTGACAGTTAATAGACTAAAAATTAAATTAAGCCCCGAGCTATTCCTTTCTCTTCTTTTAAGTGAATCCCGTTCTATTGATTTCGCCTTTTGAAACAAATGCAATGTATAATTACAGTAATGTTGTTTAAGATTTTAAATTTATCATCATAAATAATCCTAAATGTATATGAGGGATTTTTAAATAAATAAATATATAATATTATAAATAAATTTTAATTAATTATATAATATTATATTATATTATAAATTTGTAATGCCGTATAAATATCATAATCATATTATTTTAGTTTGACAAATTGGCAGTTTAGGGTTATTATTACAGCATTGATTCAAACCCCGGTAAAGGACGGGGAAGTCGCACTCGTACCGTCTCAACCACTGCGAACGAACAAATGATTCTATTGTCATTTGCTCACATTGGGTTTTTTTTTTTTTTTTTCTTAACAATTTGTAATTATTTATAGAATTAATTGAGAAAGGGGAGAAATGGGTTTCGTGAGACTCGAACGTGCAATCCACCGAACGTGAACAGTCCTAATCTAAGGTCCAATATCATTAAGCCGGAGCGGACCATTCCACATTAGAGTCGTTTTTAATCCTTGGTATTAAATAAGTAATTAAGATTAATGATTTCTTTAGTTAAAAATAAAAAATTTTAAATTTGAGTAATATAATATGTAGGTAAAATGAGATAAAAATAAAAAATAATTATTTTTTATTGTATAATAAAAATAAAAATAAATAAAATGAATACCTAAAGTGATTATTATTTACAAACTGATATGACTGCAATAATTTAAATTAATCTATATAGTTTAACAGTATATT